CGATGGACATAGACGTAGAAATTTGTGTCGGGGCGCAAACATAAGAAATTATATTAAAACTTTAGGGGTGCGAGATTATAAAATATCAGGGGTATAAATTAAATAATTCATATAAAATAAAAAAAATCTAAAATATAATAGATTTTAAAATTTTTAAGGTACGACCACACTCTAACACCCTTCGATCCATCCCTGTATATCCTAATCCACCTATCTCACATATTTTTCAAACAATCATATAAAAACCATACATTTGCTTCAGTTAATCTTTCATTACCTAATCCAAAATATTATAGTTATTGGTTAAGTTGAGCGTTCGGCCGTCCATTGAATCCATCATCTTCTACCTTCAATTCTATCGACACTTATTATAGATGTATTATTTTATTTATAAAATATTTTAAAGGTGACAATGAATTAATTTAATTTGTTGATGAATCGATTATATGAGTTCATTATTTTTTTAATTTATAAATTTATATAACGACTTGGTGAATTTTTTTTAAAAAAAATAGATATATCAATACATTTGATAGAATCACGTGTGCTATGAAAAAGGTGAAAATTCCATGAGATTCTTGGAAAGCAATCAAAAATCATATATGTAAGTAATATAATTATATGAATCAATTATTTCTATCTCACAGGCAGTTATAAACTTAATCGACATCTTGTATGTAGCTGTAGCCCTATAATTATGATCTATCACATACTTGAAAATTATTCATATATTGACCTATAATTTTGATCTCTGACTAATTAAAGAAACAAGTTACCCTCCCCTTCTGGCACACCAAAAGAAGAACAGTTCCTGTGAAGGAGCTCTTCTATCATCTGCAGTGCAATTCTCTCTTCTTCATCAATCTCTCCTCTAAGATCAGTAGTCTCCGTCAACCCTTGTGTTTTGGTATTGGTAGAAACTTGAGCATTATTCCCTTTTCCAAGCTGGACAGTCATGACCCAGTTGGAGTCCGAGGTGTTCCCTGCCCGCTTTTGCCACACGCCGATGTGTGAATTCTCTGTGTCCAGCCTTAGACAAGTCATGGAAGGAGATGGCGCCTTGCTGCATTTTCTAAGCTTTGCATGGAGAAGCTCAGATAGCTCACTTGGAGGTGATGGATGGAAAGAGCTTTCAGTGCCTTGCTGGTGATCTCCAATTGGTGTTGTTTGTGATGTGGGGAAGTTCGTTTTCGCATTCCTCCCACTCATTAAGATTGCAGCTTGATCATACGCTCGGGCTGCCTCTTCAGCTGTTTCAAATGTACCAAGCCATACCCTTCTCTTTCTGCAACAAAATATTATAGTATATCAAAAGATTCAGGACAATACACTGAGAAAAGCTTGTATAATAGACTTACAGTAAAGGGTGGCGAATTTCAGAAACCCAGGAGCCCCATTGTCGCTGCCTGACACCTCTGAACTTCTTTGATTGCACCATAATTAGGAAACAGATAGATTGGTTTGAATCTGAAACAGGCAAGGATAAAAGCAGGCTCTAAGAGAAGAAAATCCACCATACATAGATGAACAAAGCACATGACATGATCAGAGGATATATATAGATATTTTCTTTTCTTTTTTACTGAAAAGATGAATTGTCGGCCAACTGAGAGGAGTGTACTAGGAAGCTCGTAATTAAACCTTGAGAGCCTACCAAGTAAATGACTGTGGCTTACCTTGCATGGTACTCCCTCAGCAACTGCTTCCATGCGATGCATAGTTTAGAAAACTACATTGATGGGACACAACTTTTTTTCATCCATGACACTCAACCGACGATTACTCTTTATTTTAAATGATCATTACTAATATTAATGAAGAGTAAAGAGTAACAAAGATGATTATCCAAGCAAATTAATGATCCAGGCAACGTAATCGTGAGAGTTTATGAGCTTCACGTAGAGTGAAGCTAATTATTAATGTAGGCCAAGGTAACATGCGTCGGCATCAGCTGCTAGGATAAATGTCCACTGCTCAATTATCTTGGTTCTTACAAGGATTCTCTGAGTTCAGAGAAGTCAAAAAAAATCTTGCATAGTATATACATGAGGATTTTGAAGATCAAAAACTTACCACTCACCAAGTAAGATAGATTACGAATTGATGCACCTCCACGCACGATTTTGGGCCATATATAATTTCAGACCTTAATTATGCATGACTCACCAAATGCTGCGCTATCTGCTTAGAACTGTGGCAAGGCTTTATATAGAACTTGAACGTATATAACTTTATTTTAATGGTATAGTTAATGATATTATTATCAGTTTGTTTCACATAGCTAAGACCATATAACCTAAGACAACTGAATTTTCGGTTCAAGGAGCTATTGATATAATACTAATAGACTTAACTGGAAGCAGTTAGATTAAATCTTCAAGAAGCTAATGGAAGTCTCTCAAAAAGAAACTACCACTGTGGAGATACGCCTCTCTCCTAGTGATTTTTAGATACAGCTTGTAAAGTTTTATCCTTTTGTGCGGTACAAGAACTGGAGGTTATATGGAAAGACTAGATGGTTAGCTTTTGAATATATTGCGACGAATGCATGTCGTGGCTGAATAAGAATCACTAACACCCAACTCAAAAGCACATTAAAAGAGTTGATTAGGTCGGAGATTATCAATCTTGCTTTGATCACTGGTCTTCACATTTTACCGGTACAGTTCCCTTACAAAGACCATTATAACTTAACTTTCATCTCATCTGCCAATTCTCTTAAATTGATAATTTTTTACTGGACTGCCACCCATCTCATCTGCAAATGTTTCATTCCAATCTCAAATTTTATATATAATCATATAATAATGTATCCTGTCGTCGCGTGAGAAACAAGGAAACTGCTGGGCTCCTTGCTACTAATTGCAATATTGATGATGAGGAAACATAGGGCCACCAGTACAGGTAGACGGTGAAATGTCAAATACCAGAGCAAAGGCATCAGCTTCAGCTCCCCCCATAAGCCTAGGAACTGAAAGACCTCCCTAAATAAATAAATCATAGATTTCTTAATTATCCCATGTGCCGCTTGTGGTCCTTTTTTTCTTCTTTCTTTCTTTCCCTGGTTGTTGCCTTATGATTTACCAACCATTTCTATGGTTGGCTGAGCCAAAAAGAAAGAAAAGAAACGATTTCTATCGTGGAGTCATCGAGGCAAGGGGCTCTAGGAGAGTATTTCCTGATATGGATGGTGAGTAAAACCGAGATTCATGTGATTTTAACTTTGGGTTATTACTTGGTTTTTTGAGTTTTTCAGACGCACCTATACTGTAACATTCATAAAGTTTTTACAACCTTCCTGGGACAGGAATGGCTAAAGATCTTGTTTCGTAAAGAGGTCATTTAAGACTGCATTTATATATATATATATATATATATATACACATACATACATGTATGTAGAGGTGAGGGGCATCTCATTCCAGAACTTGAATGCAGCAAAATTGAATTTTACTGTAAAATAACTACACTTGATACAGTCACGATAGAAATACATACATATGGTACATACTTCAATATTCAATATACTTAGCCGCTTCGCTGCAGTTGTAATTGCATAAACATGAAGTGAAGTGCCAAGTAGATGATGAGAAATTTTAATTGTTGTCAATCGAAAATTACCTTGGAGGTAAGCTTTAAGGTAAGCCCAGAGCCATGCCTTGTTTTTAGTTTACGTTGGTAGCATATAGACGTCGTCAAGATTTGGAAGAAGTTCATTCATCAAGAGGAAAAACAAGCAGAATGTCCTAATGGTAGTAATACTTGTACGATTCATGTTTTCAAGTTGCAGTCATAATCTGGAAGGTGTTTGAAGGTAGCACAAGAATTAAACAGATGAATCCTGACGGGTATAAAAACATGGGACATTTTTCAGTTGGAGAAGACGGCATGGCAATTGCCACCAAAGTCAAGTTTCGAATTCTCTGTACAGGGTCCAGTGTGCTTGCTTAAGATCCATTTACGGCCTGCTATTTATCTCCAAAATCTCTCAAGCATCATTTTTTTTAAATATTTATGATATTTTAATTTAAAATTTTAAAAATATAAAAAAAAAATTAAGTATAAATAACGTAATATGTTATTTATTATTTGTATTATAATGTTGTTATTATTTTAAATTAATTTTTTTAGTGAAAAATATATGATATAAATGAAATTTTTATATATCATAAATTTAAAAATTAGAATTGCAGTGGGTGACTAAAACGGAATAAAAAATTAAGTTTAGTGAAGAATTAAAAAATGTCAGTTTGATTATCAAAACGGAATCGCAAGAATAGTTGAGTGACTAAATATGTAATTTAACCTTGTATTTTTTTAACAGAGTTAACAGTCAAGGATAAATGAAGTAACGATTCAAACTTTATGGACAAACATTTTGAAAAATACTTTAGGAGATAACTCGGTACAAAATGCATAATTTAGAGGACAATGATACATTTTTTTTATTAATTTGAGTAAGTACAAGACAATATATATTCAAACATATCGACATTGAACGCTCACATCTTTGGCATCTATAGTGCTCGAATCTAGGTCCTCAAGGAATAACAACAATTCATTTACTACGGAGGTCACTTGATTTGTGCAGGATAATAATACATTTAAATCTTATTATTCGATTTTTTTGGATTAATTTTTTACTTTTTAATTGTGTGGCCCTTATATGATTATAAGTGATCATTTTCCCGTGTTAATGATTATGAGAAAACATCCTAATTATGTGTTTAATTTATGAATCTAATTATAAACTTTAATTGCAGTTTAAAATATTTTTCTTTATTAGTAAAATTAGGTGTTTTTATTAAAAATTAAACAAATATGAAAAATATTATACTAACAATTCAAACCGTTTATTTGCACCCTTAACTGGTGCAAATCAGGTATGGACCCACCTAACATTCAAACCGTTTATAAACTACCAGTCTTCTACACGTAGCAAAGCAAAGTCCCTCAATCGCTTCCCGATTCTTTTCCGAGTCATGAAACCTACTCCAGAACCTCTCAAAGAAGATTTTCCATGGAACCAAACCACACCCCAACTCTCCCCTGACTCGGTCCCAACTCACCCGGGACGGCACCACCATGCTCAAAGGAAAAAAGCTCAAGCTTCCCGATCGACTCGGCAGTTTAGTCGCCGGTTTCGAGGACAAGGATGGTGATAGCGGAGGATCTGGTTCGGCTTTGGATTTGGGTGAAGAGCTTGAGATTATTCAGCCAAACGGATTCGGGTCCGATCGTGAAAGTGAAACTGATGATGAAGGTGGTGAAGTTCAAGAAGAGGCATTGGTGAAGAGGAATTTGGAAGTGGATGAAGAATTGGAACATCACGGGCGTCAGCCGAGGCACCAAAAAGACCGGTCGGATCATATTTCGGTCATAAAAACAATTGAAGATGATGAGAAAAGGTCTGATGTTGACTACGAGGTGAGAGATTTAACTGGTATTAGTCTTTTTGTTTTATTTCATCTTCTTTTAACATCAAATTATGGCTCCTTTTAATAATCTTCATCGTTATTTTCCTTTTTTGTATAATTTAGATTTCTCAAAAGGTGATAAATGTGGGAAAACTGCAAAGAATTGTTAGCACTGGGCTTCCTGGTGGTGGGAATTTGCGTCCAACGGTTAGGAAGGTAAATTTCTCAACAAAAAAAAATAGTTTCTTCATTTGATTGCTAGTGTTGAAGTTAATGGAAACCAGTACGTACAGTCATAATTGTGTGAAAAAAATTTCAACTTACTGAGATTTGTACATTTCACAGGAAAAGGAAAGAGCTTGATTAGTTCACATTTAATATTCAAATATTCAGTACACGTATTTACTGTCTTTGAATGAAAATTTCTTGCAGCTGCTCCTAGGTTACTTGCCTCCATCTCGGGACTTGTGGGAAAAGGAGCTCATTGAGAATCGACAAAAATATGCTATGCTGAAAGAAGAGCTTCTTCTAACTCCTGTAAGATACTGATTATGATGCAGGATTTGCTTGCTGAAGAGGTCCTTTGTAATATAGTTTACCATAAAATATCTTAGATGTTGAATGGAAGTGCATTTTAGGCTTTAGGTAGTATTTTATAAGTTCTATTGAACTAATCTTAATATCAAATCTAGTCAGAACTTGCAAGGATTAAAGAAGAAGCACTCCACTCTGATGAGCATAACAATGCGTATAGTGGTACCAATGGACCACTTATACGGCACAAGATTTCCCACGAAGATCACCCTTTGAGCCTTGGTAAGGCTAGTGTTTGGCATCAATACTTCGAGGTAAATCTCAGTTCATACGGCATCAACCTTTGATTGGTTGATTATTATCCTTTTATGATATAAGTTTGCAAATGTTTACCATGATTGATGCATCGGTTTCCAGCATATAGAAATTGCAGAACAGATTGACCGTGATCTGCAACGCACACATCCTGCAATGAAATTCTTCTCAGGAGAGTCATCATTCAGCAGGAGACACAGGGTATGCCTTTTCGCTTCCTACATCCATGGTGTATTTACTTGTCACCACAATATTTTCCATCTATTAGCAGACCAAATTTAAAGATATAGGATGTATTTATGAACTAACAAATACATGATCAACCATCTACATTAACACCTATTGGGGTTTGAGGTCTCTCTCTGTGCTGCGATATGTTTCGGTTTACAGGAATCAATGAGGAATATTCTCCTCCTATTTTCAAAACTCAATCCAGCCATTCGTTATGTCCAAGGCATGAATGAGGTCTTGGCACCAATATACTATGTATTTAGCTCAGATACAGATGTGCAGAATGCAGTAAGAAACATGCTTCATTCTTGCTTTCCTTGACTAAAGATCACTTACGAAAATTTGTCATATCATACTTGGTCAATAATGGCAACAAGTTTATTTGCTAAGGTGATCAAACCTATGACTGAAAAAGAATCTTAGTTGCAGCAAAAGAACATGCAGTTTCTGAAAATTCAAGCAAATAATTGAGACTTAAGAGCTTTGTTGTAATTGGAGTTATATATTAATTTAATTCCATTATGCAGTCTAATGCAGAAGCAGACAGTTTTGCTTGTTTTGTCCGGCTCTTGAGTGACTCAGTGGATCACTTCTGTGAACAATTAGATAATAGTTCTGTGGGCATCCTTTCTACACTTTCCCGCTTGGCGGAGTTACTGAAAGCCAATGATGAGGAACTGTGGCGTCATCTTGAATTTACATCTAAGGCAAGTTTAATGGAAGTATGAGGTGTTCTTTATAGGGAGTTCAATTACTCGATACATACCGTATGCATGTTTCTTCATCCTTGTTATTCGTTTTGATTTCTGCTAAGGTACCCCTTCTGCATACTCCTATTGCTTATAGCATGTATATGTATAATGAATGAGCAGGTTAAGCCTCAGTACTATGCATTCCGGTGGATAACATTGCTACTAACTCAAGAATTCAATCTCCAATCTATTCTAAGAATCTGGGATTCCCTTCTGAGTAATCCTTTTGGTGTCCAGGTCGGTTTCCCTTTCTTTATCCCTGTGTATCAGCTTTTGTAAATTTAAAGAAACACTTTTTCGTTACAACAAACTATCCCTTGCTTTGTGCAGGAAATGCTTCTACGTGTATGCTGTGCCATGCTGCTGTGTGCGAAAAGCAGGCTTTTGAGTGGTGATTTTGCAGCAAACTTAAGGCTATTACAGCACTACCCCGATATTGATATAGAACACCTTCTAAAAGTAGCCCAGGATCTTAGTCCAGACACCTCCTCGTATAGTCTGACTTCGTAAATTCATACCTTATCCACTCTTGCATATAGAGCTTATCTCTTGACATGCTTTGCAATACTGAAATGGTATTGGTCAATGGCGCGGCCGATGATCTCATCTGGCCAAGAATCCCCTGAAATTTCCTACGAACAGATCACCAATCCTACTGTTTATTCTTAAAACCATATTGTTTCTTTCATTATTATTATATTTGTAATTATCTTAGTAACGACCAAGTAGTTTATACGGAGTTGACGGGCTTTTACTTTCCCCAGCTGTGCATAGTTCAAGATATTTTAAAATATGCTAGATGATCTTCCATCACACTAAATAATAATAATTTGAAGTTTAAATTTCAGATACTTGAATGCCTAAATCATAATCTGCCAACCCATTACTCCTAATATGTTTCACTTGCCAAGTTACGTGAATTGTACTCTACCCTTTCAATTCCTTCTAAGACCGAAATATGTTCCCTGTGGTAACTGGAAACCCCATTTTCTAATTCCACGAAGCTTTGTTGTCTAAATTTAGGGTAAACTATGCTGATAGTCCCTTTTGTTATCGGTCTGACCGACTTTGGTCACTGAAAAAAATTAAGGGAAATTATACCTTACGTTATCGGTCTGTCCGATTTAAGTCTCTATGCTATTTATTAATTTTGTTTAACCCCTTTTATTTTAAGTTCATTTTGTTGAAGTCAATAACATGGCTAAAGGACTAAAATTGAACAGACCGATAATATTAGATACTGAAATAATACGAACCGATAATGTTAGGGACTTAAAACGGACGGACCAATGACGTTAGTGATCATTTTCACTTAATTTTTTCAGTGACCAAAGTTGGTCAAACAAAAAACGTAGGGGAGTATCGGCATAGTTTATCCCTAAATTTATTATTGTTGCCTGAAAAGTACGTGCAAAACCCAAAGTCCCGCCATTGACTTGTTTGTATACGACTTTATTCGGTTGATGGAGCAAGCAACTTGCGGAAAACTACAGCAAGTGGATTCCATCGGTAACCATTGTCGACCAAAACCTCTTTTCTTGGGTAAATCATGACCGTAAGATAAAATATGATTTATCTGGTTGCTTGCTGCTAGACGGCAAGCATGTGCCAACGAAGCTACAGAGAGCAGCCTTTATTTTTCATTTGTAATCTCTGATAAATTAAAATAAATTATAAATTAAACATAAAATCAAACTTGATTCGATTCAAATAATCATCCTTTTTAAATTTGAGAATCATAAATTGTATAATTAGATCACATTTCCGTTAATCAATTTCTAGTATTCAATCTCATGGCGTGCAAATTTAACAACTAAATTTGAATATTACAAACCCATCAATATAGAATGATTTATAAATAAAAAATTATTATTTTTATTTTAAAATAATAATAAAAAATCATCAAAGCTGTATCCCCATTAGTAGCATATTCATTTTTAAATTCGCAGTTTCTGACACCGTTGAAAAATGTTCGATTTTTTCACAAAAAACTAATTAACTTCTATTTACAAAAAATGGAATTTAAGAAAGCAAATGCATCAGCTATCCTTAACCGATTTTACAGATAAACAAACATTAAAATTATTACCAACAACCCTAACAAACAAACAAACGGATGTAATTCGGTATTAACACCTCCAAATCCAGACGTTAATCTCTAACATAGACATGGATTTCGAAATCCCAACTTGGTAAAAAAATACAAAAACATAAAAATGAAGCGTCCGGATCACGCGCTGGCGGAAAAGGATATTGGGTGGCCATATAATTGATGTCATCAGCACGGGGTTTGGTATTCTCGTCGGGGCATTGCCGTGTAGTGCACGAGCAGCGGTTAAGAGATCCCAACAACGCCACTCATCCCTTTGCCTTTCATTTTTTCATTACACCCATTTTTACAGAAAATATATATATATATATATATATATATATATATATATATATATATATATTAAAAGCCCACCAATCAGAGCTTCCTTTTCTTTATAGAGATATTGGCCATCTGATCCCCAATATTATTTTCAAATTTTCAGACTAAGTTTATGTTATAATAAACCATCATTCTCTCTCCATCATTCTATTTTGTTTTTCCATTGGGGTTTGAGATTTCGGTTGGAAAAATGGTTTCGATGTTGAGCTCTCAAGGAATGGTGTTAGCCACAGCTATGGCAGTCTCTGGCACAGTAATTCTACTTGCTTTTCGTCTTCAGAAATCTTTGGATCAAATCTCCCTGCCTTCTCAACAAGTCCCCCGTTCTTGCATATCTTCTGGTACATATCTATGCAAAACGATTACATGAATATGTTTTGAACATAGTGTTTACATAGTTATTTATTAACTTTTTTTTGGGATTGTTTTAAAGAAGGGAAGAAGAAGAAAAAGAAAGTGCACTTCGCGGAGGATGTGATGGATCCAAGGACTGATGGTTCAGAGTTCAGGAAACAGCCGAGGAATCGGGTTAGAATCAACAGTTCAGCGGCGTCGGCTTTGAATTCAACACCAAAGTTCAAGAAATTTGGTGGAGGTAACGATAGAGGGATTCCTGCTAATAGACTTGCTCTGTACAATGGAATTCTCAGGGATCGTGTCGTTCAACGATTGGCTTACTCTTACTGAAAAACAAATTAGGTGAAAAAAAAACACAGATTTTGATTTTTTTAACTACAGTTTGTGTCTGTAGTTTGTAATTTTGTGAATAGTAGAGCTTTTTTTTCCCAGTGTAATTATGTAGATTTTTCTCTCTAATTTTATACAAAGTTATTTTTATCTATTGTGTTCCTTTCATAATTCCGTTCATGGTTATCCTTCTAACATCTCCAACATTTAAATATAGTTGTTTCAGTTTTAGTTAAATAAAAGTTATGAATCATATGATTATGATAACAATTAGATGTAACAATTATGCAATTGACAACTTTTGGGGTGAGTCTCGGTTCAAATCCCAACTTGAACCTCACAAAATATTTAAATTATTCAAATATTAATGTCACAACAAATAAATAAATAAAGAGGAGGATCACTGGAACTGAAAAACAAAATAATATATAGATTATTAAATGTATCAAAATTTTATACATAGCCAACAACCAGTTGGTCTAGTGGGATGAGATGTTATATCTATTAAGTAAAATCAGGGTTCGAATCATAACGATTGTGAATAGAATAAATTGGGTTTGGAGGTTCGCCCTTGTCTCTACAGTACCCGATCCAGATTAGTCGGTAAATAGATCGGATACCGGTAATTATACCCAAGATTCTGTAAATAGATATAGAGTAAATTGAATTTAATGTGACTCTAATTGATCCCATTATCATTGTAATATGAAAAAACATTTAAATACTTTATATAATATTTTTTTAATTTATAGATAAATATAGATCACTTATTTTTTATCTTATCCAAAGTTATGGGGTTTATCAAGAACACTCGTCTTCTTTCCTCGTCTTTTTTATGTTTATTTTTCTCTTAGTTTTGAAAGCTATATTCGTGAAGGCGGTCTCTTAATTAAAATTGACTTGTTTTCCTATAATTAATTAAATATATTTGTCGCTAATTTTTTAATATTTACTAATTACGCCCCTAAAATGCACTAATAATCGAGGTGCAAAACAAGTCCAAAAGAATTATGAGTAGGTTTTCCAATGAATAATGACCCAATAATCAGGGCCTAATTACGCGATAATCAGCGGCCCTTGTCTTGTCCCCAACACGTTTGAGCGCTGATTAGACAAGCCATGTGAAAATTTTCATACATCAACCGATCACATTTCTGCAAATGGAGAGGTATCAGTTAAAAATTATCAATTTTTCAATTTTAGAATTTAAACTTTAATTTTTCCCCAAAATCATATTTAACATTTATTTTCTGTTTCGGTTTAATACCCTCGTTAAAAACTTGACGTTAGATTTTAAAAAATAATTAAAAGTTTATGTACTAAACATGTCAAAATTGATTGTTTAAGTATTAAACATGTTAAATTTTTAATGATGATATACTAAAATGAAACAAAAAATAAACGTTAAATATGATTTTTAAAAAATTTAAAAGTTTAGATACTAAAATAAAAAAATTGATATTTTAAATATTAAACGTGTAGTTTACCCTGAAAAAAAGAATGCTTCCATAAAAGGTAACCACATCAATAAAAAGGCACATGACATAACACAATCCCAGGGTAATAGTATAAAGATGCTGATTTAGATGCTTTCCTAGATCCCTTTGCCTAGGGTTGTTGATTAGGTTAAAATCGAATCGAACTTAATTAATCATAACTGAATTAATCAAACTTTGTTTTTCTTTAACCGTTAATCGAACCGAACTTTTTTCCAAACATATTAACCGAATCGAATAAATTTCGGTTAATTTTCGAATTAACCGAATTTTTTTTTAAATTTTCTAATTTATATAAAAATTAAATGTTTTTTAATTAAAAAAAGTTTATAATTAATTTAAATAATATATAATTATAAAATAAAAATTTCAGATAAATTTTTTAATTAATTAATATTGATTTATGTTTAAAAGTTATTGGATCTTAAATTATTAATTGGGTTTTAAATGGTTTGGGCTTAGCCCATATGTTATATATAATATATTTAATATTTTTTAATTAAAAAAACAGTTTACAATTAATTTAAATAATATATAATTATAAAATAAAAATTTTATATAATTTTTTTAATTAATTAATATTTATTTAGGTTTAAAAGTTATTAGATCTTAAATTATTAATTGGGTTTTAAATGGTTTGGGCTGAGCCCATATGTTATATATAATATATTTAAAATTTAAAATTTAATTTTTGTTAATTAACCGAATTCGAACCGAATTAACCATTAACCGAATTCTAAAAATTTTCTTAACCGTTAACCGACCGAACTAATTCGGTAACCGAATCGAATTAACTGAACTAATTCGGTTCGGTCGGTTAACCGAATTAATTCGGTTATTTGAACACCCCTACCCTTGCCCCCTCAGTTACCTCACTAATTAACTTCTTTAAACATTATTCAATTGCCCAATTTTAAATAAAAACAAAAGAGGCAATGGCTTTAATGTTCTTTTACATGTTTTTCTCCCTCTTTTTGTAATGAAGTTGTCCACTATGTATTGCCCTCCCCCCCCCCCAACAACCACCACCACCTCACACATTTAGTCAGAAAAAAAGAGCCAATACTTTTTGCTTAAGTTAACCAGCATTCTCAAATTAACTTAATTAAGATAAATTACCCCATAATTTGATCAAAATCGCATTACTTTTGTTATGAGCTAGATAATTTGAAGGAATTTGAGTGGGTGAGGTAAGCTGATTAGTGGTCTTTATTTTGGCCTAATAAAAATGGAGAGGCTGGCAGTTTGAAGCTAAGGATCTCCGCCATTAAATAACTAAATAATATATGATAATGGGTTTTTGGCCACTTGATTTAGTGGTGATGACGTTCTGTTGATGTTTCCATTAATTTGTCAAACGTTTGGAACAATTCCAACATTACTCTGGGCGAAGAAAATTAATTTAACCATTCAGAACAATTGATAAAGAAAAACGCATATATCGACGAGGTTAGATAAAATATAAGTAGCTTAATATTATTTAATTAAAATTTGAATTTAAATTTTTATGTAAATAGAAAAATCTCCGTTAAAATACTCATCTACCGAACACAGATGTATGAACCAAATCAATTCTTTGAGAACTGAAATGATAAAAGAAAAATTGAAACCCGTATAATCGATTAGTTTACCAACAAAATTAATTTTTGTAGACGGTCCACATTAATTCCAAATTTTTTAGGAGTTGTGTCGACAACTATAGATTAAACATTCTTTCCAAATTGGCTGCAATGTTGCATCATTGCATGCACATGTGTGCTTAAGTGTTTCATATGTTAAAAAATAATTTAATAATTATATTTTAGTTTTAGCATTCATCATTTGTAGGTTATACGAATAACTAATAAAAGTATATAATAACTTCGATTTTGTACCCTAAGAATATGATATATAAACGACGTTAGTTACGGCTAAAAAAGGGGGGTGGCGGAATAACGTCAACGAGTAACATGGCTAAAAATGTTAACTTCACGCACTAATATGGTAAAAACATTTTTTTATAGAAAGCTTATTAAAAATATAAAATTTCGAAAATTATAATGAAGATTTATAAGTATAACGTAAATATAAACAAAATTATAATTATGATATTTTCTTATAATAATTTACACAAAAATTAATCACATAGATCACACAATGACCAAATAAGGAAAATATTAAAAAATCCAATCAAAAAACTTGAACAAAATAAATATACGAACAAATATAACTGCATCGACAAACAAACCACAAAAGAGATGAAGCTACTGAACGCCACCGATAAATCGTAAATCAGAGACAAACGACGTGAAAAAACTATTCACAAATACAAAACGCGTATCTAAATCAACCTGATGGTCCAAAGAAGGGAAAATCATCATGATAACAAATAAGCGTCATCTTCATCAGACGTGGAGATGTCAAATCCAACCCTGAAAAAAAATAAACGAAAACAACGGCAAAAACCGTAAACTACCAAAAGGCGGAGAAAAACGTAACACAAAAACAGAGATAAATGTGTTATAAAGACAGAGAACATGTCACAAATACATAATTATTCTTATTAAAAAACTAAAAAACAAATAAAAAATATCATCATTGGGCGGCAACCAACATCAAAATCGATATCACCACCGGTTAAATAAAATTAAAGAATAAAAAATTATATTGATTAATAAAATGGACACAGATTGTAAAGAAGAAGAAAAAAAGAAAGAGAGAGAAGACGAAGAAAGAGGCTAAATATGGTAAAAGCTTTTTAAGTATTATCTTTTGATAAAATATGTATTCTTTATAATTTTAAAAATCTGTAAAATGCAATTAAAAAATCTTTAAAAATGAAAGCTATTGTACGTTTAAACATTTTTATTAATTATAGATATATTATATTTTTAAGGTAATCATCGAGCTTCGAATTCACACAAAATAAAATAACATAAGTATCTTTAATCACTCTAACAATTAATAATTTTCAAATTTTATTTTTTTATAAATATAAGATGTATACAAGACAATATATGTTCAAAGACTCTCAATTATTTGACAAAAAATCCGCACATAACTATGTCATATGACATAGTCGAACTTGAGACTTAAGAGATAATAACAAATATTTTGACCACTAAAATTAATTTGTTATTACATATTTTTAAATTTATAATAACAAAGATGTTATAATAATAATATCTATCAAACGAACAGCCAATTGATAAATTCTTTTAAGTACTACTAGGTGAAGATATTTGTATATTTTTTTTTTGTTTGTTAAAGTTTCATTAATTTTATTTTGTATTCGTTATACTTCTTGTATTAGTTTTTGACTAAAAGTAGAAAATAAATTTGAGTAGATTTTATAATTACGTATGTTTCTTTTGTAATTAATTTTCTTTGCAATTAAATAATTATTCTTATAGTGCAATTAAGTTATCCTAGCTAATGATTAAATGAATGGTTGTTATCTCTATATGTCTCGAATTTGAATACACTATTGATAATCTTTCAAACAGATATCACTTTATAATTACTCTTAGATTAATTAAA